GTCATCCCTAAAAGTGCCGTGGTACAACAGGCCTTGAAAACAAATGCAAAATGTTGTCACCTGCGACAAGAGCTCCCAAAATCATAATCAGCGGCATTTGCCATCCGCGTCTCATACAATGACAACCAGTCATATCTGACAGCTGTCAACCACCACAAGGTCTAAATATCAATATTTATTCAATGATACCACAGACTTACTGAGCACAACGAACCTAGACAATTTTACAAAATTCCGAAATTCATCGAAGGGCGGTGAGTCCCCTTCGTGGCAATCCACGCCCACCGATTAGCTACTCTATCCGCCATCGGACTCTAGTCGTTTTGGCAGAGAGGCAGAGCAGAGCGTTCACGTTGATGACGTCAGCGCCGATAAAACTCGCCCAGCGCAGAAATCAACGATAGAAACAGCGCGTTTCAGACCGTTTTCTTTTAGTTGCTGCTTTGCCGAGCAGATATCCTCCCTTCCGGCTGACCAATTTACCTTACCATATTTTTTGAGAACAAACCTATTGGAAAACACGCAAGGGTGGAAAAGAAGACTTTCAGTCCTGCGGTACCAACTTTAACTTCAATGCGAGCCCTTTATTTCCTCATATTTAGATCCCGCAACGGATGTGTGGCAATATGCCCCTTGATGATAAGGCAGATGGGTTCGCACTCACGCAGGTGGCGCCACATTGGCAACTGAAAGTGGACAGTAAGGTTATTACCTACATTTATGCGCACGTAAACTTTGTTTCCGAAAACCAGATGCACGTCGAGTGCAGACCACACACCACAAGTGACGACGGCCTCCAAGTAAATCTGGTTAGTAGTGGTTCATAGTGATAGCTGATAGTTGGTAAATGATAGTTGTAATTAGTGACAACTGATAGAATACAACTGCAACAGGTCATTTCATTGGCAGAAAACATTTACATTTTGTGGAGGCCGTCGTCACTTGTGGTGTGTGGTCTGCACTCGACGCGCATCTCGTTTTTGAAGCAGAGGGTACGGTACACTTGGCCATCGAGGCGATTACTGTGATGTCTGCGTCTCACTTGTCCGCTGTGCTTCCTCGTTTGACAATGAGTGTCTATTCTTTCATCCCACATCCACTGTTTAAGAAAAACACCGCCGGGTACATTGGGTACCCTCCCTTTCAAGAAACGAGAAGAGCGTCGGGTGCAGACCATACACCACAAGTGACGACGGCCTCCAAGTAAATCTGGTTAGTAGTGGTTCATAGTGATAGCTGATTTTTGGTAAATGATAGTTGTAATTAGTGACAACTGATAGAATACAACTGCAACAGGCTAATCATTTCATTGGCAGAAAACATTTACATTTTGTGGAGGCCGTCGTCACTTGTGGTGTATGGTCTGCACCCGACACTTTCTCGTTTTTTGAAGGGGAGGGTATGTTCCCCTCCCACTAAAAAGCCGTTTTTTTTCTCGGGCGTCGTCAATTGGTGTGTGGTCTGCACTCGATTCCCATCCCGTATTCCAAAATAGAGGTATATCAGTAAAAGATAGGGCTTCATTATAGTGAATTTCGTGGCACACATACACGCACTCATGCGCACTGGCACACATATATACACACACGTACATACGACACATACGCACATACACACGGACACACACACATATACAAACATACACACGCGTACACACTCCCACATATACACACACGCACTTAGCGAGTCATATATACGGTTAGGATATTCAACGAAAAAGAGTGTTTGTAAAGACGCCTGGAAAGGTATTATGAACTCTCCTGAACTGCGCCTCGAATTCAACTCCCATTCAAAGTTGAAGAAACTCGATGTAAGTAATTGATGTGCCTTATTGGAAATAAGGGTAGTAGTGATCAGTGAAGCAGGCATGAAGAAGAAACCATGTGAAACGGCCCAAAACCCGAGAAATGGGACCCTTCCCGTTGATTTCTGCATTGATGCGACTCTCATCGTTGTGCCCTCTTCAGCGCGAAGCTACTTCGGCTAGCAGATCACTTGCCACGTAGTGTCCGGGCCAATTGCGCCAAAGGGAAGGCCATGCTAGATCGTCGGGGGCAAAGTGATGCGAATCACGTGTGCGTCCGCATCCTTACTCTCTCTCTACTCTAGGTGAGTTTCCTCTTTCTTCGACCTTCGTTCTTATCGTGGAACCCTCCTTTGAACGGTTTTTCATATTGGCCCCTTTGCCAAATTGTTTGCAATCTTGCCCACCTGCATGACAATGATCGGAAATATGAACGCGATGTATTTTCGATTGAGAACCAGGAATCGTTCGATGAAATCAGCATCAGGTGGAACTTCTTGTGTCGCTGACTCTTCCACTACGACCACCGGTGTCGATGACTCTTCCCAAGTGTTGGCCTTAATATAAAGTGAAATCAAACTTATATGAAAAGCTAAAAATTGGGTTGAATCAACTGGCTTTGGACATGCTTTCTCCCAACAATTCGGAGAAATAGCAATCGTCAACCAGGCAAACCAACCAGAAAATTCTGCCAGAGATCTGCTTTTGAGAATGAGTTCTTAATACATTATCGATGTTACGTGGAAACTTGCGAACCTCAAAGGCACCCATGATGACTCCAGATGGGTAGACCCAGTTGGTGGGTAAGAAAGAGTCATACATGCTCATTAAAGTTGCAAAATTCCCGCTCTTTTGGCTCAAAAATTCTCAACAAGGATGCTGAAGCATTGCCGAGACCGCTTCGTCCGCTTCTGTTTTTCCTCATTCGCAACATCTCCTGGCCGTCTGCGCACCTTCATCCGTTGTATTCTCCTGCCAAGCTTCTCTTCTTCGCGCTCAGTCTCGAATTGCCTTTACAGCTTGATTAAGAAATGAACAAACCCAAAATTTTACGCTTTGACGAACAGCCTTCTTTTTCCTTCAGCAATGGACCACCTTGAGACCCCTGCTCATGCCTTGTCTTGCCAAGAATCAGCACTCAGCTTGGGGGGGAGGGGAGGGGCGTGAAAGGGCAGTGCCCATCAATTGTTGGGAACACTGATCTATAGCAACCGACCGCAATTTGCCAATGAAGTGTGTTGAGTATCAACGTTGGGAAATTATCGAGAGCCACACCGGACTACTAACATCTCATTCAGGCCAAGTACCTTTCACCTCTCCACGGTCGATTAGCACCTTGACGACAACCCTGCAGGCCGACTGCGACGGCGCGTAGTGCCATACCCTTATATGTGACTCCTTTTCCTTATGTAGAGTTCCTTATATTGCTCTTTTCCTTCGTCGCTCCTTTCTCGATTATTGATAATTTTTCTATGTCATCCCCAACTGCGACTATAAACAACGTACTCCAGGAAATCGATGGATCTGTGACTTTTAGGCCTTGACTTTTAGATCTCAGACCGCGCTCGTAAATTTGCGCATCTCCCACGAAAAAGCAGAAACGCGCCAGGTTACTGTTCAAGGCGTTAATGGTACGAGACCCATACTAGGGGATTAAGACATTAAAATGTTCATCGTTTGCCCCCTGTCTCTCCACAAGAGTCAGCCGTGAGGCTTCCACTTCTTCCAGAAATTCGCGACCCCCCTCCTTTAGGAGGGTCTCGATGCGACCCGTACCACCAACCTTTCTTCCTACCCCGACCACCACCCTCGCCAGGATGGCTGTTTCTATAGCATCTGATTTTGAGACTAGTCGGCATACCACAACTCCCGCCCACATTCCCTTCTAAAAAGCGTACTCTTCTCCCCACCAATCCTACGCGCGCCAATTACGTCCACCAAATCCCTCAAAAACCAATCTAAATCGCCTCGCCATTCACCCAACAATTACTAATCCCACTCAACCCCTGAATGCGACCCCCCTTCCCAAAATCAACCACAAATGCGACCCCTCGTTCGAATAGTGCGAACGCACGGTTGACCCTGCTCTCCACTTCGCCCTACCCCTCGCACCGCTCCCACTAGCTCCCAAATGAATGCGTGGAGCATCAGAGAAACCCAATTCCATAGATTCAGCAGCGCCAAGTACCTTAACATTTTTAGACCATAAATCCGGGTATGCGCCTTAGAATCAAAGATACTGATTGCTTATTGAAGCAGCTCTTATATGGTCTCTGCTACTGTGTATGTAGTCAAGATGAATTTAGGACCTGGTTCCTTTCTGAATAACTGAATAGGAAATTCATACAGCACTAGGCCGACCTCAAAACTGGTCACCTTACTTGGGCAGACGTAAGACGTGCCCCTTTGCTATCATATCATGATTGCGTTACTATTTGGAAAGCAATTCGACGAGTTCTTCATGTAGACGTTAATGACCTATTCTACTAAAAACGCACGTTGTCTAGGTATTGCCGTTTATCAAAGGCCACTTCTCTGATCGATAAATTCTAAGCTCTTTTGTTAAAATGAGTGCTATTGCATAGAAATTTATGATGTCGCAGGCAATCTAACGAGAAAACTGGCACATGAACAGATGCAATTTCGGTGAGTGGGACCTTGAGAGATTCCATTTTTTGAGAGCCCAGCGATCTCCACTCAAGTAGAATGTGGGGGGGGGGGGTGAAAACGCTTTCGATGCTACTACCCAGCACTGAAGGAAAAAGAAGGACAAAACCACAGAAAGTCTGTGGATCAGAAATTTATTTCAGCTATACATTTCGAGCTTATTACAACTACTCGCGAGAATGCACGGCCCACATCTTCAATTCTGACGCGCAGTCATGGGAGTGGATCCGTGGGCCATCACCGTGTCACAGCGGCCCTTACTTACACGCCCAAAAATTGGTACAATGGTGTGGAAAACTTTCGCCAGACAGATGTGCTCCAGCCAGGGGTTACACTGACTTAAAGGCACAACCCAGGCAGAGGTCGTGTGAACGCTTCTCTTCGGTCAGAAGTATAGAACCCTAGAGGACAATCACAAATGTGGCGTTCCGTGCACGGAAACCACCGACAAGAGCGCTTGGGCCTTGCAAAGTAAGCTGCTGAGCTGCAGATCTCTTATCAGGCTGTTGTCTGGCGCTCTCTCATCTGTGCGCTCTCTCGCCTCATACTCTCCTCTCCGCGCTTAGTCTCTCATTCCCTTAGCACAGCCGATTAGGAAGGTGAGTGAGCCCTTAACCTGAGCGTTTTCGACGGATTCTTTTCCTTTTTTCTTCACTGCCGGCCCACTTGGCACCGATACATTCACATTCGTGTGCAAGAGCCACACCAGTGCGATCCTGGGGCATGCCTTTAAGACTCGGAAGAGGTTTCAAGACAAAATAGCACTGTAAGGTCTTGGAAGGATAAAAGTGTTCGGCGGCAGTCCATTTGGGATGCGTTACGTCAGATCCGTGGTGATATTTTGACTTGGCCCAAACAGTGAAGTGCGGGGCCAGCCGATAGACAGGTCTTTTTGACCTACCATGCCGAACTGGTAAAAACCAACATACTCGAAGGGATGAAAATCTTGCTTAGTTTCGGCGGAGCACGATCAGAGATTTGATCTCGGGACCGCGCGCGTCCTAAGCGTACCAGTTGCCACTGCACGGAAGTGAACGTTCATTGTTATAGGATTCCACCAAATCAGTTTGGCTATTGGCTTATTCAAGGAATACATTAAAATCACTATGGGTCCACGATGCAGAACCTGGTTCCCATGTGCTTCCTGTGATGTTTGAAGCTTTCTTAGGGGTGGCTTCAATTGCTGGCACGCCGTTAAGTTCACGTTGAATAACGTCCTTTCTATTGATGCACTTTTCCTCGGCATTTTTTCTTTCCACGCGAAATTCCATCATTTGATGAATTTTAGCGCTGTGCTTAATCAGGAATAGGCTCTAAATGGGTTGCTTTGCTGTGATTCCTCAAAGGTCAATCTTTGGTTCTTGACTCGTCCTATCCCGAGAACTCCTAATGAGATCGAGACTGCTGTAATAATATCTAACAGGAAGTGGCTAGGACAAAAGCCGAAGGATAAGCCGTTCGGAATGGGTCAAGCCTTTTTTCGTCCACCCAGGCAAAATTCGAGCCGTCTTGACGTTGAACAGGGTGGTGCTGGCAAATGGCGTCACTTGCCACTGCTTCACCTCGACCCCCAGAAAAGTGGGATATGCAGCATAATAATCTATATTTATATATCGCTACCAATAAAACCGGAATCATAGACTTCTTTTCGGGATGCGCCATGCATCCTGAATCAGCACTAGTTCTCTCAATCATGGGATAGTCTCACCTGAATATCTGAATTATGCCGTTCGAGTGCAAGCTGATGTTGAGAGCGATGTTTTTAATTCACAAGAATGCTGGGTTGTGAACAAAACTTTCGCCCCAGGCGGGACTAGAACCCGCACCTCTCGCTTTCCGGGCAAGTGCGCTACCAGTTACGCTACCGGGGCACCATTTCATTCCAACTCAGCTTTTCATGGTATATTTACCACAGCTTATATGCATCTTTAGGGGAGTCCAGGGTCCCGAACCACGTCAACGGTCGCGATCGGGAACGCTGTCATTTTCGCCAAGGAATCGAAGATAAGGTGGGCCGGACACGTCATGCGATTTTGCGATGACCGTTGGACCAGAGCGGTTACCGACTGGATCCCTCGGGACGTCAAACGAACACCTGGACGACCGCCGGCCCGATGGTCAGACTTCTTCACGAAAGCTCTGAACGAAAGGAATGAAGGCTTCGTGTCCCTCGAGCGAGGAGGATCCACTGGACCACTCTTGCACGCGACAGGGACGAATGGAGACGTTGCTGGCGCCCGCTCGAGCAAATCGATGATCAACGGGACGACAGGTGATACAGGTGACCTGCACCCACACTCTAAAGGCAAGCCTCCGGGATTAGCCCGACTTGTGGGAAGGATACCGCGAGGGAAATTAAGGTCCCACCTACCTAGATCACTCCAGCTTCGCCGCAAAAGTTGCGCGGTTAGGGCGCTAATCCTTACGGGCCTGCAACCATCGACCCCCGTTGCAACGCTTCCCACCCACCTCGATATCGGCGTGCTCTCTCGAACGGCGTGATCTCTCGCGTGTTTTGTCTTCTTTGACCGCCCTGCCTCGCCATCGTTCCACATCCGACCTTTTTGAAAGGTTAAGGCCTCAATTTCATCCCAAAGATTTCTCTAGCTTTCCTTTCCACTTTCAGGCCGTCCCGCAGCTCAGTCATCATTGCGAAGCGCCTTATCACCGGTTTTATCCTGAGGCTTGCCTTTAAGGAACAAATGTTTTGACTCTTTTTTTTCCTTCCTTCTTCTTTGTTCTTTCTAGGTTCTGTACGAGCAGACAATTTTTGGGTGGACTGGGTTTCCAAATAAGTTACCTTGGCGAGATTTAGCCCCACAAGAGGAACAAACGGCGAATCTTACAGCCGCCGCTCTACTTCTCCAAGCTGACAAAAAACAAAAAGAGAAAAATGTCTATGGAGAGAAAATCCGCCGAATCTCACCTTCGAGAAAATACTTGCGAAAGAAGGACTTCCGAGGAGGTGGTTCTGAAATGGCTTCATGAAAAAACATCCGAAGACGAATAAAAGTGATGTGTGCTCTTACCCTGACCTTCTTTGGTGTCAACCGCGGTCATCACCTGAAAAAGGCGTGATTAGTGAAAGAACAGACAGTATGGGAATCGTTTAAAGTCGGTCAAGAAATTGGAAATCATTCTTCTCACCAATGATAATTTCTCCATGAGAGCAAATATCAGGAAGAGGCACGAAAATGAACGAGGTCCCACAAGTTTCTATTTGTCACTGCTAGGAAATGGCAGCGATAAGGACAGCGAGGTCAACGTAGATAAAACCATTTAGGAGGAGAAAAATATATGTGTTCTACGTAAGACTGTCATTTGCTTGATTGCACATTAGATAGTTGCTAACAGAGATGGTGTATGTAGTGGCAAGAGGCGCCGCAAGCACATGGTTAGGATGTCGAATCCTGTATCGAGTCGCGCTGAGGTCAACCAAACCTTCTATCTCTTCGGCTTGGCAATTGGTACTAAACCAACTAAATCATACCAACTAAACTTGTCGCGAGATCAAGACTCTAGATTCTGCATCGGCTGGTTTCCCTTAGAGGACGGATAGGCCATCGCCGAAAGGTAACGGCGCCTAGTTAAAACAAAACGCGTGGCTCATCCCAAAAAAACTGATCAGTTCCGAGTGCTTCCATTCTGCAATGGAAAGGCATGGTGTAATGTCTGCACTGGTTCTTCCTAAACCATGGCGAAGGAAGTCATGAAGTCGACTGGCTGGCAAGAACATTTTTTTGCGTGGATAGTGAGTTCATTCCAACAACTAGGATCGAAGGATAATATGCATTCGAGAGTGCATGGAGCATGCCAAAAGATTGCAGTCAGCTCACCTCATCTTAAAGGCAGCTATCACGATAGGTTCTTCAAGAAGGGTTCAGAGGAGACGTGGTGGTGCTCAATGGTACGTCGGTGGCGAAAAAAGCGGAGAAATCCGTCAAAAAACGCAAAATGGGACCCCTTTTTTGGCCGTTGGTTTTCACTCATGAACAGGTGACAGCTCAGAAAGCGGACGTATGAACGAGTTCACGCGTTTGGTGACACCATGCCAAACCACGCTCCAATCGAGTTGCTCCAGTTGTGCCGCTGCTGGCAACGCAGCTCGTCCAAATCACCAACTAAACTAGTGGGCGGATCGCTTTTGGGGGCGGAGTGCTTTCGAAGTCCTGCTCAGCAACCAGCGCACCTTTCGTCGTGAAAGCGCTACACCTCGCTTCCTTGGCAGCCAAGTAACTGATTCGTGTGGCGCTTCCCGATGCGCTCCCACTTTATCGTAATCGCTGCCTTTAAATAACTTTATTGCGGCCGAAGTTCGTTGATATGAAAGGCGCTCTAACGAAGCTAGTAGCCATTAAGAGAGAAAGTAGAAAGGGTAAACGGTGCAATAGTTAAGAAAAAACCACGACAAAAAGTGTCTGAAGCCAGCTTAATGGATTCTCGTTTCGCCTGTTAATTTTGGCTTCGGGCAACCTACATCAACGACCAATCCCGAGGTTGTTCCGAGTTTACCCCTCGCATTAGGCCAACGAATATTGTACTTTAGAAATGCGGCACTAAATAGACAAACTGGAAGTCGCTCAAAATTAAATGCTCTAAAAATGGAAGACGAACGGTGATAACGGCAACATTGGCATCCACCACGCTTTCGCCATGATACAGCCACTCGGAGGGACGAGCTGCCACAAATGCGGCTCTGCTAAGGTATACGGTGGTGACAGGTGGCTACGAGGGCGTTCTTGGCCACGGAAAACTCTCGTGTCATTTTTTAAAGAACATTGCCCTTTACAGAAGGCACATCCCCTCTTCCTTTGGAACATCCAATTTATCCGCCTGCTTTTAATGTAAATCTACTCTTGCTACCGTCAAATTCGCTGCCTATCATATAATTATCACGGACATAAACAAGGGTTGACGAGGACGTCAGTTGAGCGCTGTGGACCGAATAGGAAGCACAACCCGGCACAAAATGGTCCGTTGGTGGACCGCCACCTTTGTACGACACAGACGGTCTTCCCTATGATGTGACGGGTGGTGTTTCCAGTGGGGATGTTCAAAACTAATTTGCAGAGCATGAACTGTGGAAAGAGAACTCTATAAACGAACTCAACGATGAAGGGGAAGGGTCAACAGCATAGACTGGACTTCCATTTTACGGTACCCCACCGTGAACAGGGATAGCCGAAAATAACTTCGAACCTATCATGGGGCGAAGACATCTTAGGAATCTCAAAGTAACGAGAACCGTAACAGATTGCAAGTTATAGTTGACGAACCGACTCCACATATAACGTGAATATTGTTTGCCCGACAACAATCACGCGTCGGACATCACAGTGTCCTTTGTTTACCAATCTCTTTTTATTCAGATTGAATCTTCTTACATCTTATGAAACTTCAAAATGTCACGCCTTTATATAGATACTTTTTTTTCACAGGCTTGGAGCAAGATGGCCCCCCAAAACCCATCTTTCATGAAACCAATTGGCATCTGACTGCATCAATCACGAAGAAATCCACAACATAAAAGAACTCCAACGAAGCAAACATTATTCACCTTCATAGCATAGCGTAAAGCAGTAACCTAACAATAATAAGCAGCGCTCCCAAACAACTCCGCCCAGCTCCCGCGAAAACTCGTACTCTCGTATCTTCATGATGCTCTCTTAACAACCCGGAAGCCATATCCCCTTAACAAGGTTGGGCTTTCCCTTGGGATACTAGTGCCAACTTCCCACTCATTTAGAAACAACGTGATGGTTAAAGAACAGCACATTACCGAAGATATACATCCATCAACCGATCGTTTATGCAGAAAGATTGGGCGGAGAACAGCTGGCAGCTTGCCATCCTCACATGCAATCTGTTTGGGACCAACGCATAACAATGGAAAGTTTATTCGCTTTTTTACATTCACAACCGTTTGATTCGTGTTTTTGATGCGATTCTTGGAGGCGTAAACACGGAAAATTCGAATACTAAAACAATCTATTATCCTCCCTTCTTCGCCACTCTTGACGACACTTGGCCACCACAGCAGCCGAACAGGCGCTACCCACTGACTGGCGCCTTAATAGAGTTTCGAAGTGCTCCCTCATCCTAACACCGACATTCTTTACCAGCTGTCCGCGCTTTCCCATTCATGTTTTGTTCTCACACTGTTCTTGCAGTGGAACGATCTTCAGTGACAAGAACAGATATATCGCTGATAAATATTACTTCTGTTGCCGCCTGAAAAAGCCTCCCAAGTCAGAAGAGATGGCTGTACGGCACATCCTCATTACATCGTGTAGCAGGCCACGAACCATCTCTTCGTTCTTGCAATTGCCCAACCATTGGTCTTCGAAGCGCCGAAAATGGCATCTGATCTAAGGGAGTCGTAGTAGTCTTCATCTTGCACGAAAGTATTGGCCATTCGCGACATCGTTCGTGGCTGATGACTTCCATCTCTTTTATCTCCATCCTCACCAGCGAGGGCAGTATCACATACTTGCCGCCAAGATGCGTCATCCGCCACTGATTCGATCCTCATCTGGGGGAAGTTAGGGAAGCGTAGCTCATTTAGGCCCGCCAGTGAACTCAATAAGTGGTATACCCTCACATACCATGTAGCACTTTCTCTGAGGCTGCCCGTGTGCAGTCTCCGCATCCGTCGCGCGAAGTGGAGTCTATTTTACAAACGCGGAGTATGGCTGGTTCATGAAGCAACCCTGTTCCCCAACCATAGAATAAGTTCGGCAGCCGGGAACGCGTCCCTCTTTGAAAGGGATGGGAAACGGCCCCAGATAGATCCTACCTGGCAATGCTAGTAAAAGGTCGTTCGACATCACGATCGAACGTCGCACAAGCATGATTGCGTATCGATATCATACTTGCCTACAGTATTCGACGATCGTAATATACTTATTTAACGCTGTGCCACCTTAGATCAACTGCGTCGACAACGAACGATACGCTGATCACCCTTGAGCATGAAATTCTTGCGTGAACTTACTTCACCATCCCTCCTTCTTGTCTATCTGCCGTCAATTCTTGGTATGGGACCGTACCCTATGCTTCCTCCAGATGCGTTCACCTCTTTTGATGCTATCCTTCTTCAAGGACCGCCTATTCCCCACCCCCTGCCCCCATGCTAGGAAACAAAAAATTATCGTAATAATTCCTGCCTTCCCCAACTGGAAACCTCCCCATAAACCATGCTTGTAATTTATATCATGTGTGGTAAGCAAGCATGTGCGCAAAGTAGATGAACTTTATTTTGAAAACATATGAATTTGAAGGACCCTTTTGTTCTTCTAGCCGGAGAACAATAGGGTATGCTCCCAGTTCAGGGGAAGGGGAGACGAGTTATCGCTGTTTGAGCCATTTACCGCTGCTTAGACCATCTCCCGTTGAAGCATGGTAAGTTCTAGTCGCTGCATTGCTCTGACTGAGTGGAAGTTTGGTGGAAGAGGGTATATTTCCGTATAGCGAGCGTATATTGACTCCACGCAGGTTATGCGCAACCGTAATTTTCAGGGCCTGCCCACATTTAGTTTCTCAGCCCATGAGCCGATGTCAGACTTTGCGAATCGCGCGATTCGCTAGCGTCTGCGGTCGCGTCGCGGCCAGTGAATCACTCAATTGGCTGGTACCGCAACGCGACCGCGGACGCTAGCGAATCGCGCGATTCGCAAAGTCTGACATCGGCCCCAGGCGGAGGACAACGTGGCGAACCCAGCGGAGTACGCGCAGCTAATTCCGCGGACCCGCAGGTCGGACAGAGTGGCCAGAGCGCAGCAGAAGTGGGGAAGCAAGAGTTCCCGCAAAAAGTGGCGCGACCCAGGATGGAGTAGCCCCTGGGTAGAGACGAAGGGCTACCACCGGCCCGGGCTGCGGCCAGCGCCCGGTTCACGCGGGCGCGGGCCGACAGAGGAAGGGGACGCGGAGCGGGGGCGCGGAATTAAGGACTGATGCAGAGGCGCCAGGCCTAGGCTCAAAGCCTGTATTATTACGAGGGCCATTCTGACTCGTAACGCCGCGACATGTCCGCGGCGTTGGAAATTGCGATTTTGACCTATGCAGAATGTCTCTTGCGCACGAGCGTGCGAGGCCGCGAGCCGAGATCTACGAGTCAGGACGAGGCGTGGATTTCCATGTTCCCAGACGAATCTGCGATGTATTCAATGTTCAAACAAGCTTGCGCAGGGATGGAAGGCATTGCCGGTTGCAGTGCGGACGTCTGCACGACCAGGATTCGATCCTCGACCGCATGGGTACACGCAAACGTGGAAGTAAGGCCGTGCAAGGCTTGTCTTACCCTACACCACTAACTGGGGCCAGAAGTGTACCCAGTTCAGGAGTCTTCGTACAACAAGTAAAACCACGGGTCAAAGAGTGGGGAAAGACACTAGGCCAAAGCTCAGCACAGGCACCCTTGGAAGCCCTCACAAACGGGCAGTTGAAACATGGACGGGTATAACGACAGGATCACCAAAAACGGAACCGAAAAAGGAAAGAAATGAGGTCAAAAGTAACGAGAGGTGAAGGTGAAGATGAGAAGGAGTTTCTCATTGAGATTATCCTTTTGCCACAATGCAGATTTACACGAGGTAGGCTTGTTGGACCACTTTTCTTCTTGGAGCGCCCAACTCTCGCTCAACATTGGGCAAAATTGCCCCTAAAACAAATGTCCTGCCGAATTTTTGGCCTCCAAGCAGAGTGTAGGATCGTGCAGGTGTAATAACTCGGCTAAACTCCTTCATACTTATACCGACTGCTTAGAGTAAATGGTGAATGCAGACCTATGAGAGAACAGCAGGAGAAATACACCGCTAATTCTTCGGATGAGGGAGAGGTGATGTGAGGATAAAAAGTGCTAGAAACTGGTGAATAGTTGTATTCAGGATATTTGAATACTCGAATGAAATCAAGCGTCATGGGTTCAGAAGACTCAAAAGTTAGGAAAAAGACTCCAAGAACAGAGTTGGGGGCGTCATCCTGAAATTGGCATGTATGAAGTGGTGGTCTAATATTCCTAGACTTACATTTACTGAGAGGAACCTGGTAAGCAATTTTGCGGACTCACCCAGGTACGCAATTGGACGGATTGACTTAGCCATTTCAATGTGAATCTCTGAACCAATTTTTCTACAAATCGGCCATTCTTTGAACACGATGAGCTGAAAATATAGCAGGGACGATAGGGCGGACCACCAAAAATAAAAAAAGAGCATTTTGCCTCACTCTCCAGATGAGCAGTATTATAGCAGCATTTTGCTCAGCAACTCAGACCGAACACAACGTTCAAGCTAATACTTAAGGGAAAGTGCGCATGTCCCGTTCTAATACGAACGTCGTCTAGTGGCACGAGGTACACGCTCGCGGCGGAACGGGGCATGCTTAGTGAAAGGAATTAGACCACCTCCGGGAACAGCAGTGTTTGGTGCACTGGTCGATCTCAATGGGGTCTTCGAAGGATCGTGTACCATAACGACCCTTACTGGAAAGCTAGTTCCGAGGGGATTTGCACAGTGGTAGCTAATGCCTCTAGAAAACTATCCAACATTAAATCGATTCACGAAATTGCGTAAGAGCTTCAGGCTGAAGCTCTTACGGTAGACCTCCTTGAGCCTGACGACGGTGACAGATGACGTCATATTCTGAAGACGGTGAGGGCAGTGAAGGAGAGCCTGCGTACACTAATAGAGGAACACTTAGGGAATACTCTGCTGAGGAACTCCCGTCAACGACAGCGAATCTCTGCGAAGAAAAAAGAAGAGCGCCGAGAAAAAGCCGACAGTGGGGAAAGGCTTAAAAGGATCTTGTTTGTTATTGGCACCGCTCCACGTGATCAGATAATTACATAGACACTTACTTCCGCGGAACTAGAATTACTGAGGTTGTAAAATGTCCACACGGGGACCGAGAGTCACCCAACGGTGGCTACCAGTGTCGGTAAAGGGTTAGTTGAGCATGCACGCCTCATGATGCCCAACTTAGCCGGGTTGTTCTCTTCGGAACAATCAGACGTGGCCAAATGACGGCGGCGCCAACAAATGCGACACCATGAAACTTTCCTATTCACTGGAACCGTTTGCAATGTTCTTTGTCCACCATCGTGTTCATTACTTAGTTCAATCTCGAAATAAGAAGATTATTTGTTCCAGTCTAACAGCAGCAACCGGTCCCAATAACACCGGTCGCAAAGAGCGACATTCCCGCCTAACGAACAGCAGTGTCGAGAACTACAATAATTTGGTACAGAGTACTCTAATCCCTAATATCAACAAAAGGCCGATTTCAGTGCGAAGGGGGGGGGGTGGCATTTGGCCTCTGCAGTGCTGTGCACCCGCGGCCGTGAAGGGCTATTTTGAAATAGCCAAAATTCCTTACATTATAAAGACGTAGAAAAAGTGATGGTTTCGTAGTCCCCTTGTTGCACAAGCGATTGGTTCACCCACCCAGGAAACTCCTCCTTGAACAAATCGTGGTTCGTGGACTTCACATACCATTGCATCAAAACTCCCCTTGAAGCAACAACCCCAGATGGATCTGTATTTCTGCTACTAATGGGGTCAAGGGGCGGAAGTGGTGTAGTGGCAAGTGGCACGCTTACCACGCGAGCGGTCCGGGGATCAAATCCTGGGTCGTGAGTCGCCCGGGCCAACCAAGCCTTCCATCCCTCCGGGGTCGGTTAATTGGTACCAGACTTGTCTGGGAGGATAAAAACACTGACTTGTACATCGGCTGGCCCCCGCAAGTCATTGTATAGGCCACATCGCATTCAAACGCCACTACGAATGTACAAATGGAAGTAGAATGCGTGCCGCATCCCAAAAAGGGATTGATCAACGGCAAATGCTTTATCCTTTTATCTTTTAATGGGGTCAAGAGGTCTCTAATGGACACGCCCCGCGGAGCAAGTAAGCTCAGAAAACTCGGCCGGCCCCGCCCCTTCCCTATTTCGGGGAAACTCTCGTTCTTGACTTTATCGGCGATTTGCTTTCGTTCTTTTTTCATTATTCTTTATTGATGAAAATTATCCCACCAATTTCATCTGAGGTTCAATGGAATGGACTTCAGATATTGATTAAAAATGCACAAAAATTCCGATCCAGAAGACGAATCGAACATAGCACACACAAGAACCGAATGATATGAGCTCAGGCATTGGCTTGCCTGGCTGTCATGAAATTCGTCATCATGTAATGATTCATTTCGGCAAGCGCGAAATAGGAACCAGAAACATCTTTTACTAACACATGAAATGAGTGGAGTCCACGGTGGGCGGAGCAAGCCACAAACCGTTACCTTTAGGTGATTAATCCGTGTTTTCTTTCAGAGAAACCAGCAGGGGTTGATTAAGGCAATAATTGTTAAGCTCAGATGTTTGGCTTAAATAAAGTACCAGTGGTAGGTGGAAGAAAATATACCAGCACTCGGCTAAGCTTGTGGCAAGTCTCTAGAACAATATGATATCAGAAAGTGAAATCAAATATGAAATATTAAGTTCAATTTGGCACTAAGTGGCAAAATTTATTGGATCGCAGGTGCGTGGAAATTTTACGGTGGTTTAGGAATAGGGCACAAAAATTAAAAAAGAATTTCCAAAATAGGACGTGACATAATGTAAATATTTATCAATGACATTGTTTGTATAAAGGATGCATTAGTAGAGGTGCTAGCATTCAAAATTATTGAGAGTTCATAAGGTCTAATCACATTCAAATGTCATCCCAAATTTAAATGGAAGCGAAATGCGTGGCGTATACCTACCTCGAATGTTCTGACCCTTTGCTGCTTCTTTTCTTTTCTAATTCTCGTCAAAGTGGGAGAATGCAGGATCCGATCTTGCAGCGCACAACGAAAATTCTCATTCTTCTTTCTCTAGGGAGATTAACCACCCCCTCCCCTCCCCGCAATCGATGATCGAGAGGACAAACACTTACACGCAATTGGCTGCCTCCCCCCTTAGTTCATTGTGTAGGTCAAATTGCATTCAAACGCCGCAACGATTTCGAATGGAAGTAGAATGCGTGGTGCATTCCCTAAAGGATTGACTATCGAAAATCACGTTATCCTCTCACAATCAGATGCACAAATGTAGTGAGGAGAAATATGCCTCAACACCTCAACGATTACATTTCAAAGAATACCGATAGTTCTTGAGCACCTATTATTTATGGTATTGACATGTGCGTCAGGGCAAGAGTTTAGCTTATAAAAGATAAAAGCAACTGCAATTTGAGTGTAGTTCTGAGTAGGTGTCAAGTACATGGCGCATCTTTATGTGAAATGATGAACCTCCATACTACGACAAGCTTCATCTATTGAATTGCCTGAAAACGATCAGAGACTTTAGCTTGGGATATAAATGTACTCAATATATCTCGCGCTTGAGCGCTATGATGATATAAAGTTGGGAAAAGCTCAGTGGTTGGGGGAAAACTTTGAAAGAAAGGCTTCCGAAATAGCATTGTCTGCAACTGCTGCTTATTCTTTCTTCATCAGCAACCACACCCCAAGTGTTCCACTAAATGGTTTCACTTTTGTAACACCAGTCTTTTGATGCGGTGAACTTAGTGTGAGTTTGTATCCGGTTCCGAACGAGCCGTTCATTTGATCTATAAGAAGGAGCAGTGATTGCAAAGTTCGATTCAAAAAGCCCGTACACCTTTCTAATGAGAAAAAATCTTAAGTATTCACTAAAGGTTCCTCATAATTTTTTCATGTTATGATTCTGACCTTTTCAGTCAAACTATTGTTTCGAGACGGTTGAAATGATGCTACATCCAAGTACGTAGCCCAGGGGTGCCCATGGCAAAACATCTCCTGTTCTCTCCAATATCACTTATCAGAGGAAACAAGAGGTATTTCCTCGTATAGAAGGCCGAAGAAGGGGTCGTGAAGTCGGTCGCCTAGTCGAAAGGCAGGCTTTGCCCGGGAAACGTTCAGTTCTCCTTCTGGGGTCAGATCACCAGAGCTGCGCGATCATTGAAGCCTAAGGTCTAGTTTGGGTTTAGGCTTATGCTTAAGCTCCATACACATTGACTTATGTTTGAGTCTATGATGGGGCCTAGGCTAATTTCCCTCTCCTCCTGTTCCCTCTTAGCTCCAAACCCTTGCTTCGAGCAAATGAGTGGTGTATCAATTTTAGGTGGTCTGACCTGAGGAGGAGAACTGTAACGAACCCGCTCCGCACCCCCTCCTCCCCGAGGGTGCACTACGTTGCGCGTTTCGCAGTAAAGGGAATGCCCTAAGGCTCTAGCGACCCAGTAGGGACCATACTCGTGCCGCTCCGCGCCCGATGACTCTCTGGCCGTCTGTCTCTGGCCATTAACACATTGACGACCGCGCGCGTTTTGGCTTTTTTGGCCGTGTGGGACCGGGCCGATTTTGCGAGTGCGACCGCCGCACCTCGGATCCGTGAATTTTTATTGATAACTTTTTAAAGCACCAGTGGTACAAAAACATCTCAGTAACAGTCAATGCGTAGAAGGTAATAGAGTATATAGTGACGAAGTTCCGATTAAAGAACATGTAATGGTAATGAAAAAGGAAATTTTAGTCATTTTATCTGTAGTGGATGCCAAAAGCTCTTTTGATGTGGTTATACCAAGTGAAACATGTATTTTTCTGTCTCTTTAGATTTGCATTTACTTTCACTACCCTTTTTTATTGACGTGTTCATGAGAATAGCATGAAAACTATTAATGAACCAAGCCGCCGCCGGTTTCGGTGAGCTTGGAAAACTTCTTCTAAACTGGAGCATATTTGAACAAACAATGACCTATGTCGTTCACAATAATGTTATGTTCTAATCCATAGAAGAGGATACAACAATTCGGGAAAAAGCTGCGCATGCCCTAGAAAAAGGGATGATAAGGGTGAGACGCGGTAACGCGTCTCAATGTCCAACGAGGTGCGCAAAGTGAGACGCGTTACCGCGTCTCAATGTCGTCAATGTGTTAAACACAGAGAGCGTTGGCGTTGATAAGGGCAGCAACGAAGGGGGCCGCATCAATGAGGAAATCAACAGTCAAAGAGGGGTACCATTTCTCGAGTTCAGGCCGTTTTCATGGTTTTTCCTTCATCCCTGCACCATTGGACGTAAACCTTTAACCCACTGACGACACAGCGGCGACCATTTGCAAGGCACGTTGGAAACTGCGGCACCTATGTATGTCACAACCATTTCCTCGCGCATGTCCGACTTCTGCGTGGCTCAGAGAATGGCCAGATATGCTTTAGTTTGGCAAGGTTTTGCAGGGCTTAGAAAAATATCTTTTCATTTCTCGTTTTCATTCCATTACAGTAACATGTAGATAAAAAAAGAGTGATTCGAATGGCAGGATATATGTTTTCATGAAACAGCCATGTCCAAAACAATTTTAAAACAATTAGGCCGCGTTCATAGTTCGCGACTCGAGAGATTAGGATAGTAGGCGACAGGATATTAGGATAGTAGTAGAGTAGGAGATTGCGCTGACAAGATTGGATACGTATCGATTGAAATCGCTGGAGAGTAGTAGATTGGGCGACTTCAAGCGAATAGATCAATACATATCTAATCTTGTCAGCGCACTATCCTAATCTACTACTATCCTACTATCGTAATCGCAATCTACTACTCTCCAGCGATTTCAATCGATACGTATCTAATCTTGTCAGCGCAATCTCCTACTCTACTACTATCCTAATCTACTCTATCCTAATCTCGCCGTCAATACATATGTTTTTCATTGTCGCGTACTATCCTAATCTCCGGAGTCGCGAACTATGAACGCGGCCTTACAGTGAAAGTAAGTGAAATTGTTTTTCATTGCCATGACGCGTCATTTTTCTCAGAATCGATAGGTTGATCACATAGAACATTACTGAAAACATTTTGTCGCATCCGAGTTTTGCATATTTAAAGCTCAAAATCCACAGGTTGTGAGGTGGCGGCGCTCGCAAAATCGCGCCGGTCCCACGCGCCCCAAAAAGCCAAAACGTGCGATGTCGTCATCGCGTTAAATAAGGATCAACAGTCGGAAATCCGTTATAGCCCCGAGTCAGTCTTCTTCTAGATTATGATGGCTAACTGATTTACGAAAGTATCTTCTTCCACGTTTGAATCCTGTGCTGCTTCCTCTAGGCCTTGATATGGTTGAAAATGACTATTTTAACACGTTGACGACAACGCGCGTTTTGGCTTCTTTGGCCGCGTGGGACCGGCGCGATTTTGCGAGCGCCGCCGCCTCAGGTCCTTCAGGCGAATTTTGCGTGGTAAATGCATAAAACATGATTGATACAAAGTTAGATTAGTATTTTTCAGTGCGTAGAAGCGCCCCAGAGATACAGTAGTGAAATTTTTGATCGAAATATGGATGGGAAAGTAGTGAAGAAGCAAATTTTGTCAAGAATCAGCTGCAATAAAGTCAAAAGCAATTTTGCATCGATTATTGCAATCAAAACACATATTGTCATCCTTGAGGTTCCGTATTGACTTATACTACTATTTAAATATTCACATTCATGAAAAGAAAATGTAAACAAAAAATCAACTAGACTGAAGATTTCGTTCGGTTCAGAAATCCTCCTCTAAATTGAAGCATACGTGACCATTCTAAGAGCCACTATGTTTGTAGCTACGCTAAGGTTTCTCCATGGAATGAATACAAGAAACTAAAAAAGAATCACGTGTGCGCGAAAAAAATGAGTGTAATGGGTGCGGGGGATATACGTCCCGCACGGTCCGACATGGCCTGCAATGTCGGGAGGATAAAACACTGACTTGTACATCGGCTGGCCCCCGCAAGTCATTGTATAGGCCACATCGCATTCAAACGCCACTACGAATGTACAAATGGAAGTAGAATGCGTGCCGCATCCCAAAAAGGGATTGATCAACGGCAAATGCTTTATCCTTTCATCAGTTAGCAAATCGAACTGACTATTCAGGGACAAAGTATACGTTACATTCGTGAAAAAGGTCATCCTAAGAAGAACTTCAGAGGCTCGCAGAGACCTAGTCAGGCGCTGACATGGCAGCGATGGTTTTGGGACAAAGGTGGTGTCATTCGGAATTGGTAATATAATAGAATCGAATCCCTCAAATCAACAAAAATTTCCATAGCTCTTCAGCCCAGTAATTGATGGCAGAGTTGCTGTTATAAATAACTTACTGACAGATTTGATGAAAAGCCCCTGCGTCCACTCTCAAGGACACTTTCTGATTAATTACTGCGTATCACTACTGGTATACCCACGATGTGCGTGGCGCAATCCAGGAAGGTTTGAAGACAAACCCCGGGATTAGCCCGACTTGTGGGAAGGATACCGCGAGGGAAATTGTAAGGTCCCTACCTACCTAGATCACTCCAGCTTCGCCGCAAAAATTGCGCGGTTAGGGCGCTAATCCTTACGGGCCTGCAACCATCGACCCCGTTGCAACGCTTCCCACCCACCTCGATATCGGCGTGCTCTCTCGTGATCTCTCGCGTGTTTTGTCTTCTTTGACCGCCCTGCCTCGCCATCGTTCCACATCCGACCTTTTTGAAGGTTAAGGCCTTAATTTCAGCGATCCCAAAGATTTCTCTAGCTTTCCTTTCCACTTTCAGGCCGTCCCGCAGCTCAGTCATCACTACGAAGCGCTCTTATCACCGGTTTTATCCCGGGGCTTGTCCTAAAGACTATCCTAAAGACTAAGTGCTGGGAAAAAGAAGTAAAGGAAACTGAGTCGGGCTATCATATCTACGGCACATTACTGGTTATACACACTTCAGCTTATTCAGACCGAAAAGCCAATATTATGGAACAAAGAAAATAAAAAAAAATCGAAACAACAAAAGATGTGAAACGGGATGCACTTCCAAAAAACAGGAGTGCAAAATCGATGATTGAGAAAATGGAAATCGAATAGGATCCTGTTTCGAGATGACAACGCAGCTAGTTTTGGTGTAATCGTGCTGATCGCCGGCCCTTTATAGTGAAATAGCTTGAAATCTCACCACAGTCGGGGATGATCGCCCGCCCAACGATTGTCGACACGCTTCGAAACAAGATCTGATGTGAATGGGAGTTTTTCTCTCTGGGTGGGAAGCGCAATGACCTTGTCGCGGTTCACGCTTTATCGTTGGAGAGCATTATTAGTGGAGGAAGCATCAACGGCAGATGATAATATAAATGTTACTGCTGTCGGAAATAAAGGTGGAGTGCTTACAGGTGCGTTAGTAAGGAAATACTAAGGGGAGCGACATGAAACTCGCAGATTGGAACCCTTTTCCCTCGCAGGTTTTCGTGCTATCGTGTCTTATATGAGAACGGTCTGCATTGCCCTCTGTTAAAACGGCTAGCATCTGATGGCAAGTTTTCACCAGCTTAAAACCATGGGTCGGGAATAGGTGCCAAGAAATAGTCTCAGTTAGAGTGAGGAAGAGCGGTTCCCAGACACAGGAGGCCGCCACTGACGCGATTAAAACTGCGAGCAACGGCGCTAAGGCTTGCCTTGTGTGCTGCCGTGCTGCCATCCTTATCAATCGTGGCATACGTGGTGTTTGCGCCCTCTCGAGGATGACGTACTCTATCGCCTTTTCCCTCTCCTCGCAGCGCTATGTCTCTCCGTCGTATCACACCCGGCACC